ATTCCTAATCTGTGTCACATTAGCTGGAATCCCAAATGATGCAGTATGATCTGGAGTTTCCACCCAACGTGGAGTAGCATCACTCTCCACCCACTGCGATGTCCCAAAGATCTGATCACCACTCTCCACCTACTGAGAGTCAAACGTGACATGCCTGCTCAGAACAAAGTCAGAAGCCAATACCTGATAATCAAACACGCCTCTGAATCCCAAATGTGCTATCGGATCAAATCTCACATCCACGATGTGACTGAGTGCTGGGTAGCCAAACATCCGACGCAACCCAAAATCTGAAGCAGCTCCACCAGATCCCATATCTATACATGCAGCAGTCAGTAACCTATACATGAGACGGCCCAAACATGTCGTAGCCTGCACACCAATGCCAATGCTCGACATCAAATGCCGATCCTCCTCCAGAAAGAAACAGCTGCCCAAATCTGCCATCTCGCCTTGTCGCCTCAAAGTTTCCACACCAATGAAGTGTGTCCTATTGCCGTGAGCTCACTTCCTCCATTTGTTACGTGCTTCTAGGACTTCACACCAACGGGACTTGGTTGTAACCCACCAATGCCTAGAGCAATCCCCAACTGCGGAAACCACATACCTATTACCTCCCAATGATGCTCTCTTGGAAGGCCCCCGAATGCCTGAATGAACACCCCTCAGAAAACCCCTCGAATGATGGATAGAAGTGCCAAACTCCATCTCGGTCTTCTCACTCATACCAATGGGTTCACAGGACTTCAAACTGCAGGTCAAATCACTCCTCAATAACCTATGCATGGCATTACCAATCAAATAACACAGCATCAAACAACGCCACAGGCTAGCCGAATCTGATGAAGTCATCATCTCCCTATCAATCGCCGTGCTTCCGAGCAAATAATACAAATTGCTCCTCCTGACGCCCTTCATAACAATCATGGACCCCAATGTGACCTTCAAACGTGCATCCTCCAAGGTCACTTTATAGCCAGATGCCACCAAAGCTCCTAGTGAAATGATGTTCTTCGACAGCTGCGGAACGAACCTCACTCCTTCCAACTCCTGAATCACTCCGTCATATATCCGAATACGAACGGTACCAATACCACCAATAGAGCATGCATGTCAATTACCCATGAGCACAACATCCTCTCTTTCCAACTTCTGAAAGCTGGAGAACCAATCCCTCCTAGGGCATACGTGGTATGAAGCACCCGAATCCAACATCCACTCTGTAGAGTTGGCAACACAAACTGGCGGCAGTGCCGACAATGAATAGCCCGAAGAATCCTAATCTGAATTGTTACCACTAGTCTTGACAACATTCACCTCTGAAACTTGTACAGCTTTCCCCTTATTCTTCTCGTCTCGATCTAACTTTGGGCATTCGACTTTTCAATGTCCATCCTCTTTACAAAAGGCACACTGATTCCTACGAATCCCACGATGTGCACCTCTAGACTACGACCTCCTGCTTCGGTTTGAACCACGGCCATGAACTACTAATGCATCTCCTGATGCCTTCTCGGAGGACTTATCAACACTCTTCCTCAACTCATAATTCACCAACACTGAGGTCACCTCCTTGTAACTAACAATAGTTTTTCTATTAATCATAGTTAGGACAAAAGTACCATAATCATCCTCGAGCAACGAACACAGAAGTAACATCGCATTGTCTTCATCCTCAACCATGATATCCACATTGGCCATGTCTGAAAGTAGCTTTGTGAAGTTGTTAACATGCTCCCTAATGGAAACTCCCCTCTTCATCTTGAACTGATAAAACCTCTTCTTTAAGTGAAGCCGATTCTCAATGCTCTTAGTAAGATACTTTTCATTGAGTGTTTCCTACATCTTCTTCGCCGATGTCTCGTTCATCACGTCATAAATAAGATCCGACGTCAAGCATGACTGAATAACTTCACATGCCCTACTATTCATCTTCTTCCAAACCTTAGCTTCCATCTCGGCAGGTTTCTCTTTTAACTCAAGAGTCTCCTCCAAATTCTGAGCGTCCAATGCATCCATCACCTGGCACCTCCACAAACCGAAATTGATCTTGCCATCAAACTTCAGAACATCGATCTTCATGTTATTGATGCTCAAACTATGCATCGTCTTCGTAAAAGACGATCCTGATGTGCTCGCTTCACCCATGTTGTCGATCTAACTCTTTAAATAGGAATCCTTCAGTGAATCCTTCAAACAAGCTCAAGTCGAACCCGAAGCTCTGATACCAATTGTTGTGCGCGGCGCAGAAGCGTTCGAATCACACAATCCAAACAAGAGAGATCACAACCAAATAAACAAGCACAATCACCAACTAATACAAGAGATTTACGTGGTTCGGCAAGTTGCCTACGTCCACGGGGCAAGGAGGGAGGAGTTCTTACTATTAGAAATCAGATAATACAAGTAGAGTTACAAATCTCTCAGACCAAACCCTAAAACAATGCTCTTGATCTCTCACAACTCTCCCACAATTGGATGTAACAACTCTCTCCCAAAGACTGCTCAAAGTCGTCCTTACCTTACCCTAAACAATCAGGTTTAGGGATATATATAACTTACAAAACGAATCGGGTCGAAAACCAAAAGCCCAGCCCAGAAACATCGACGGTCGACCGCGGCGGGGGGGCGCGCCCCGACCGCGACGGTCGACCGCCACCAAATCCGAATCCCAGTAGGCAGCGTGCACGTTGGCGGTCGACCGCGGCGGTCGACCGCTGATCTGTCTGGCTTCTACCTGCTGATTCCTTTGCTGATTTCCTGTAATTCTTCAGTAGAGAGAAACCCTAGGCGGGTCAGCCAGTAAATTTTTGAAAAAACAGTGTCAACTATATCATGATGGAATCATGAAAGTCTTAGATATTGTTGGAAGGTGATGATTGAGCAAGTGGTCTCTCTACTTGCCAAAGTTGCAGCTGAGAGGATTCAAATCCATGTAAGTTTTTGAAATTTGATACGCAGACAATATGACATTTTCCTAGATTCATTGCACCCCTCATGGGAAACTTGTGAAGTGCAGGAAATAATTCTGTTCTGACTATTTTTATGCTTCGATGACAGAAACTTTTCCTAGTGCCTTTATGTTGGTTGATATGGACTAAAATCTGCAACTGCAGACTTTTCTCTAATGGTGATTGCTCATATACACTGTTTTACTTATAACTTGATAGGCTGTAAACATTGAGCCACAACAATGAGAAGCTAAGGTCGTGTATACGCTAGTATATGCCAATTTCTTCACAATTTTGTTGTCAATTTTAGCCTTAGTAATCATCTAAAGCTAGTTTAAAAAAAAAATCATTTAAAGCTAGTTATGCTTGTGTATTTGCTTGAATTGTACAAGTCAGAACAGAAAGACACGAGTAATACATTGTTCAGTAATAAGTGGAAAGAAATTCTCCATCCAAAAATCAAGCCTTTGAACCTTAAAATCCTCCATTTAAACTTAAAATGAGAAATGACAAAATTTTAATAGTCTTGTCAAGATCAATAAGATTCTATTGAGAACTGCACTGTATATATATGTCTAATGGATTGAGCCCAAACACGGCTTATTAATCATTTCCTATTTTAGTGAAATCCGACGGAATCCCTAAAATTTTGTGAAGATTGTTGGATTTAATGATATCATATTGCTATTATTATCATCTGATTGCTTTCTGTTTTCTCCCCTTTATTAATGAAATAGTATGATCTGTTCTCTGTGGGCAAAATGTCTACTTGTTCATGCTAGATTGATCCCCGAGTTCATAACCTGCTGTTTAGTATTAACCAGGCAGACATTGTCAACATCGAAACCAAGATTTTGGAACATAATCATTCAGAAAATGGAACCCATTCCAACATTAAAGAAAATCTGAAAGAAGTAGTATAATAATATCCATCTACTCACCCTACATGGTTGCTAAATATTGCTACAAGAAAAGCAAACCAACATCCAAAATTGCTCCGTGTTCGTATTGAGAAAATCCATGGACGTTTAGTCCAATCTTTAGATTCTAATTTTGCTACCGTGTAAATGAACGAATAATCACGAAAAGACTTCGAAACCTTAATAAACACAAAGCCAGCCCCCTATAACCAGAAAAAAGGTAAATCGAAGAAACCCTGGCAATGACGTCTGTGAAAACTAACGACGTTGTCTCTGTGGAGAAATCAGGAAAAGAATCAGAAAAACCAGAAAAACTGGCATAAGTCGACTCATGCACAAGGCAGTTTGTCTTTCTTCTACTCGTGATCACAGGTTCGTTGTGAGTTCGTGCAAGGCTTCCGCAAAGGCGCGCGACAAGTCGACCTTGCAAGCTATTTATCAGTGGTCAGTTCTGAAACTGGCTTGAGCTCGTCAGAATTCTTCGTAGGTGAAACTGGCTCGGGATTTTCATAACTCATTGGAAGTGAGACTTGCTCAACATCCTCAGAACTTTTTGATGGAGAGTCATGCGCGATATCTTCAGAACCCTTTGGAGTCGAATCTATCTTCACATCTTGCTCAACGTCTTCAGAAATCTTCGGAGGTAAAACTGGATCAACATTTTCAGGATCAAGTTCTTTAGCCGCCTCAGAATGAGAACCCGTTAACCGTTTCGCTTCTTCGACCAAATTGTTCACAACCTGCAGCTCAAGCCCTTCAGCATTGGCAGATGATTCCCCTCTAGTCTCAATGAGATCTTCAGGGTTCGCCATATACTTTGCGATTATTCTCTTCTTTGTAGTGTCAATAAACTCCTCGGTCTTGTCACAAACAGCCTTGAAGGCCTCATACTGATTTTTGAAGTTTTCGAGAGCGGTGTTGGTGAATTCTGTCTTTTGGCCGCATGAAAGCTGCATGGCCCAGAGATATGAGGTTATCGAGTCGATGAAAGACTCGTAGGCTTTCGCCATTTCATCAACATCCTGATCCATGGTAAGCGCGACGAGAATTGTTCTCTTCGAGGATCAAAATCTCTATATTAGCTTAAATAGTGGTCTTGAGGGCATTCTTGATTTGAATTCGGATATGGGATTTTCATAATTTTGACTGTCGCATTTGAAAATGGATTTCTTTGGGGTGATTTATTTGGAAAGGAACTGATTTGTTTCCCTGTAAAATAAATTGGCGCAATGAAGGAAATTATGGACGAGTGCCCCAATTTACTGAAGAAATTCTATGAATAAATGCTGAGAGGGATTATGAGAGGATTGGACGGTATCCGTGCAAATTTTGGTTGGCTGAATCTTGACCCGAATGATGGGCTGAATCATAGGTTTCCACAATCCTCTTCGTATTTATAGAATTAATTAATTAAAAATAAATAGTGTAAGTTTTATGCGTTATGAGAAATTAATCATTTGATGAATCTGGTCCGTATATTAATCATGTATTAAAGAGATGTCAACCCTTGCAACTGCAAGCCTTAGGCCTACCGTGTGCATTGCATTTCTTGACATAAATTTGTTCATGATATAGTGTAATTTTATAAATCTTAAAAATACGCTATATGCTATAGTTAAATTTTCAGCCCTTAATTGTTGTTCAAGTTGAAAGTAACATTTTTAATTAACCATGAAAATACTGTTCATATCCTTTTTTTTCCTTCTATCCAATGATGATTTTAACCTTGGTCAATAATTTCATAAATATAAATTTTTTCTGGCTTTGTTATAGAACATTGATAAAACTTGCTAATTGGTGTATCATTTTGTTAACTAGTTTAGAATTTTACTCTGTAAATAATAGTAAAATAATTATCGCTGAAGTTTTATAAATAGTTATATATAAAATTATATTATCAATTGGGCGACGGATATAGCTTGGTAAATAATACGCACAGCAACATGCGAGCTTAATACTAGTATTTGAACAACCTTAAGCCATATTTGTCAACCCACGCAAAGCTATGTAGTTTTATCCTAGACCATGTTTCAGCTGGGGTAATTGGTTTGACAAAGAACTCGTTTATAAAGTCATATTTTCTCCTAAGAAAAACTGGACCAATACTTATTCGGTCTTTCCCAAATGTAGAAGAATGAGACCCCAATTATTAAGATCAATTTACTGATATTGAAAGAAATGTACATTATTATAATCTCACCTCTACCTGTCCGCGTATGTACTTATACCTCATACGTATGCATCTTATCATCTTTTAATAACAAAAAAGGGGTCATAGCGTTTGGGTTTGATTGATTCAGATCCTCTGCAATTAGGTGGTAATTGGAAGATATCCAACTACCACAACCTTACCTCTCTATTCTAACTCCAGCGGCTAAGATAAAGCCACATTGGATTTGCACAATCACAATACTAATTTTCACAATAGTGGTTTTAGAGACGATAATGGTTATGAAGATAATTTTGAGTCCTATGTGGACTCATCTTGGCCTTTGAAATTGGAATAGAAGAATAAGATTGGGGAAATTAGACACTTTCCAATTATCACCTAATTGGGGAGCATCCCAATCCGTAATCTTTCTCAAAAAATCGTGGTTCTAATAAGGTCAGCAATGTATTTGTTTAGAAGCTTAGAGATTTGAAACCCAAAATTTGGCTTTAGAAATTTGAAATGAATCTTTTCTATCAACTTGCATTCTCAGCCCACAAGTACCAAGATAAATGGGTGAACAAAAGGTTCTTGCAGGCTAATGTAATGTGTTCTATGTTATTTGAATTTAAATTCAACTCACCAACCATATTACTGTTCTACCAACCCAAAATACTATTCCACTAACCCTTTTGAAGGCTATAAATAGAGGAGAGTGGTGGAGGGTTAGATCATCGAACAGAGAGAAAAAGAAAGAGAGAGTTGAAGAGAAAACGAAAAAGAGAGTTTTCTTTGAGTGTTCTCTTCTTTGTGCAAGTTTGGTGAGATATTAGAGTGATCTCCCTTTGTAATCTTCTCTTTTGTGATTAGTGAAGTTATCTGTTGTTCTCGCCCGTGGATATAGATCATACTGACCGTACCATGTTAAATCATTGTGTGATGTTCTCTTTGTCTTTACTGTGTTTATTCAGTGTTGTTATTCTTTACTCTTGTAAAGACATCTTTTGTGTCTGTGAAGCCCCCCACTGTAACAAACCGGTATCAGAGCCTGACTTAGAGTGTGTGTATATGCTTATCATATGCTATGTGGCTACCACTAAAAGTGGATCATCCACATCAGAAAATAAGTTAGATTATCATTTATTCTTTAAAGACATTAGACACTATTCATAAGCATGTCACTATTCATAAGTATTATTACTGTTCACAAGTATGGTTATTGTTCATAAGTACGGCTACTGTTCTTAATTACAGTTACTGTTCTAGTAGGCTTTAAGATGTCTTCTGCAAAATACAAAGTGGAAAAATTCGATAGGAGAAACAACTTTATTTTGTGGAGAGTAAAAAATAAGGGCTCTCCTAGTATAACAAGGATGTTCAAAGTCTTGTCCGAAAAGGATAAGTTGCCAGAATCAATGCTAATGATGAGAAAGAAGAGCTGGAGATGAAGGTGCATAGTGTTATACAGCTCTGTTTGGCCGATGAAGTCCTGCGAGAGGTTGCCAATGGAGATACTGTCGGCTTGTGGCTCAAGTTGGAGAGCTTGTACATGACAAAATCTCTAACGAACAAGCTCTACTTGAAGCAACACCTCTTCACCCTTCGCATGAAGGAAAGTATGCGGATTAAAGACTATTTAGATAAACTTAACACTATTCTTATGGATTTAAAGAATATTGATTTTGAAATTATTGAAGAATATCAAGCCCTTATTTTGTTATGTTCATTACCTCCTTCCTATGAGAATTTTGTTAATAACATGTTATACGATAGAGATATACTTTCTTTGGAGGATGTCAAATCAACTTTACATTCAAAAAAGTTAAGGCAGAAAGTGTCTGTCGTAGGAGGTGAGGATCAAGCTAAAGGATTATTTGCTCATGGTCATCCTGAAAAGGGTGTTGGTGGTAGAGGCAAATCTAGAAATATATCTGGATCAAAGTCCAGGCTAAAAAAATGTTGAATGTTATTACTGTCACAAGTATGGACATATAAAATCTAATTTTCCAGCACTCAAAGCAAATGATAATTCACAGTCGAAGTATGGGGAGGCGAAACATTCAGTTACTACTATAACTAAAGAGTCTTTTAGTTCACATGAAGTTCTTTCAGATAGTGTTAATACTCATTCACAAGATGAGTGGGTTCTTGATTTGGGTTGTTCCTACCATATGTGACCGCATAGGGATTGGTTTGTCATATATTATTCTATCGATGGTGAGAATGTCTTGTTGGGAAATAATATGCATTGCAAGGCTGTTGGTATCGGATCAATCAAGATTAGAATCCATGATGGTATTGTTAGAACATTGAGCAATATCTGACATATACTAGAGTTAAAGAAGAGCCTCATTTATTTAGAAACCATTGACTCAAACGGTTTTAAGTTTTCAGCTGAAGGTGGAGTTTTGAGAGTTAGTAAAGGCTCTCTTATTGTGATGAAAAAAAAGGTAAATACTCTCTATGTCCTTGAAGGCAGCATAGTGAAAGGTGCTGCAGCAGTATCATCCTCAGAGGATACAGATTCTGACATCACACATTTTTGGCATATGCGGTTAGAGCATATGAGTGAGAGAGAAATAGATGTATTGAGAAAACAAGGTTTTCTTTGTGGTCAGAAACTAGTAAGCTAGACTTTTATGAGCATTGTATTTTTGGCAAACACCGTAGAGTCTCCTTTAGTACCGATGTTCACATAACCAAGGGTACTTTAGATTTTATATCTATTCAGATGTTTAGGGCCCCTCACAGGTTCCATCGATAAGTGGAGCTCGATTTCTGCTAACATTGATTGATGACTATTCCAGAAAAGTTTGGGTGTATCATTTGAAGCATAAGAGTAATGTGTTAGTAACCTTCAAGCAATGGAAGGTTATGCTTGACAACCAAAAAGGAAAGAAAGTGAAGCACTTCATAACTGACAATGGGATGTAGTTTTGTTCCGTAAAGTTTGACCAATTCTGCAAGAATGAAGGTATTGTGCATCATCGTACAGTTCAGCATACACCACAACAAAATGGAGTTGTGGAAAGAATGAATGTTTGGTGGAAATTTTGTAAGAAAATAAAAGAATTGAATGTTTTATTCTCTCTAACTGCTTAGAAAAAGAATGGTTATAACTCTCTCAATCTCGATTATAATTTGAATTTCCTGATTATAAAAGAGAAGAGAATTGATGCCAATTCTCTCCTTTGTTTAAGTCTGGGTTCTTCACAGTAGCGATGGAATGTCTCCCTCGAATGCTCACGTCGAGCTTGCTTTCCGTTGACGATCCGACGTTTTGTTTCACTAGAACGTGGTCTTCTCCTTACGATTTGATATTGTGGAGAATTTACAAAGCAAGTTTGAAATTAACTCTTAATGAGTTAATAACTCTGAACGAGTTTGAAACTCTATGAAAGAGTTGATTTAACCAAAATCGGTTTATAAGCCAAGGATGAAGAAAGCTCCTGTTGTCGATCTCCAAAGTTTTAGCAATTCTTCCAAAAAGCCAGCCCCGAACTCAGTTGAGTTTACCCATATTTATAGAGGTTTTAGGGGTGTAATCACCCCCTAAAATCTCTTCTTAATGGGGTGTAACCGACCCTATTTTGTGAAAAACAATTTTGAAATCGTTCAGGGGTTTAAGGGGTGTAACAGCCCCCTAAAATCTCTCTTGGGTGGAGTTGTGATCTCCTCAGATCGTGGGAAATGGTTTTAAGAACCGATTAAATGAGTTAAATGTAGAGAATAACATTCTGGGCCCGAACTCTGCATTTTAGACTTGAAATGTAGAGTTGGGCCTATTTTAATGGCTAAGAATGCACAGGTCACGCTGCGTTTTAACGTTACAACACAGGTCCGACCTGTGCATTTTGACGTTGCAACGGAGGTCCGACCCGT